AATTCCATTTTTATAGTTGCCAGTAAATTCTCTGATAAAATTCTTAATCTTGTCTTTTATATCCTTAAACATAGTGTTATGGATGGAATTATGTCCCCCCAAAATATGTGTTGTAAATCCTAACCTCTATGCCTGTGGTGGTTATAATCCCATTTGGGAATGGGTTGTCTTTGTTATGTTAATGAGGCAGGATTAGTGTAGGGTATATTTTGTGTCAATCTCTTTTGAGATATAAAGGAAATTAAACAAGCAAGCAAAGCAGAGATGGGGGAAGAGAGATGCCAAGCCACATGAAGATTTCCCGGGATCAGAAGCTTAGAAGAAACAACGACCTTCCTCCAGAGCTGACACAGACAGAAAGACGTCCCCTAGAGCCGGCACCCTGAATTTGAACTTCTAGCCTCCTAAACTGTGAAAAAATAAATTTCTGTTTGTTAAAGCACCAATTTGTGGTATTTCTGTTATAGCAGCACTAGATAACCAGTTATTTTAAAGTTTGTGGTCTGACAATATCAAAATCTGGAGACCCTATGGGTCTGTTTCTATTATCTGTGGTTTCTCTTGGATTTCATTCATGTTGTTTAGTCCCTAGTTTGCTTGGTTATTTTTAATTTAGTACTGGACCATGTTATAAAAATTGTTAAAAATAATTTTTAGAAATAATTTGAGACCTTAAATAATTTTTAGAAATAATTAGAAATAAAAATTATTTCTAATTTAAAAATAATTTGAGGGGACCAAAATTCTGAGATCATCTTAATCCATTCTGAGGTACTGAGATGATCTGAAGATAGGCCACAGTCCTTGTAAGTGCTGATCTATTTCTGATTCAATGTTACTCCTAGGGTAAGGACCCATCTCCAAGTGTAAGGAGTTTACCAGGATTCCCTCCCCCAGCCGCATGAGAATGTCAAAAGCACTGCTTTGCCTCTTAGCCACCTCTTCTGGGACTAGCAATCATTTTAAGGGGAAAAAAAGCTCCAAACGCTAGGCTCATCTCTCTCTACAGCCTTGTAATTTTTCTTCACTGCTTGTTAGCTCTATGATGCCTTTAAGCAGATATTTTCTGTTTGTATTGCTCTTTATGTTTTCTATGGGAAGTTTTATCTGAATTATGTAGTTTCCCATTACCAGAATATCTGTCTTAGAAGAAGTACAGCCAGAATGCTCCTTAGAAGCAAGGATGGCGAGACTTCGTCTCATGTACTTTAGACATGTTATCAGGAGGGACCAGTCCTCGTGCTTGGTAAAGTAGAGGGTCAGCGGAAAAGAGGAAGACCCTCAATGAGATGGACTGACACAGTGGCTGCAACAATGGGCTCAAACACAACAATGATTATAAGGGTGGTGTAGGACTGGGCTGTGTTTCGTTCTGTTGTACATAGGGTTGCTATGAGTCAAAACCGACTTGACAGCACCTAACAACAACAGGAAGTCTGATTTACATTTTTTAAATCGAGGTAAAATTCATATAACATAAAATTTACCATTTTAAAATGTAAATGTCAGTGGCATTTAGTATATTCACAATGTTGTGAACCATCACCACTGTCTAGTTCCAGAATGAATTTCATCACACCAAAAGGAAAGCCTATAACCTTTAAAGTCACTCTCCATTTTCCCCTCCCCCAACCTCTGGCAACCACTAGTCTGCTTTCTGTCTCTATAGATTTGCCTATGCTTGACATTTCATATAAATGGGATCATATGATGTGTGGCCTTGTGTCTGGCTTATTTTACTAACCATATTTTTTTAAGGTTCATCCATGTTGTAGATGTATTAGTACTTCACTTCTTTTTATGGCAAATAATAATCCATTGCATTAATATTCACCTACTCACTTATTGAATGTCTTATTATCTGACATTTTGCATTTATGACAGTAGTCAAAAATCTATCTGGTAGACAGGAGGAGCCAGCTGGAGGAGCCAGGCGGGCCCTTGGAGAGAGGAGGGCAGGCCTGTGGTGTTCAGGAGGCGGGGACAGATGGCTGCAAGAGTGGGGGTGGTGGGAAGGAGGTTCAGAAGTCTTTTCCCAAAGAGACCTCTCTGTCACCTCCGCAACCTCTGTCATGCTCAGGTGGAGGCCTCACCTGTCCGAAGGCCTAGGAACTACCGCCGCTGAGGCCGGTCTCCCAGGCCGGCTGAGCAGGATGGTGGAGAGGCGAGGTGCAGGGGTCTGCGTGGAGGCCTGGAGCTCAGACAGATGATGGTGGAAGCCTACTGCTCCAGAGCATCCTGAGGCGCATCTGCACTCTGGACTTGTCGTAAGCGACAGTGGTGGGTGGGTGTACCACATTTTGTTTACCAATCATAAGTAGAGGGATATTTGTATTTTTTCCACCTTTTGGCTATTGTGAATAGTGTTGCTATGCACATGTGTGTACAAGTTTTTGTTTGAACACCTGTTTTCAGTCCTTTTGGGTATATACCTAGGAGCAGAATTGGCTGATTCATATGATAATTCTATGTTTAACTTTTTGAGGAACCGCCGGAGGATTTTCCACAGTGGCTGAGCCATTTTACATTCTCACCAGCAATGGTCGAGTGCTCCAACTTCACATCCTTGCCAACACTTTTTTTTTCTCTTTATATAGCCATCCTAATGAATGTAAAGTGGTATCTCATTGTGGTTTTGATTTGCATTTCCCTAATGACTAATGATGTTGAAGATCTTTTCATGGGCTTGTTGGCCATTTGTATATCATCTTTGGAGACATGTCTGTTCGAATCTTTTGCCCAATTTATAATTGGGTTGTTTGTCTTCTTGTTGTTGAGTTTGCCCAGAAGGATGCTTGTAGGAGTTCTTTATATACCCCAGATACTAGACCATTATTGAGCAGGTCTGGGCAGTGTTTCGTTCTATTGTACACGGGATCACTATGAGTCAGAACCGACTTGACGGCACCTAACAACAACAGACCATTATCAGATATATGATTTGTAAACACTTTCTCCCATTTTGTGGGTTGACCTTTCACTTTTTTGTTAATGTCCTTGATACAAGAAAGTTTTTAATTTTGATGGTCTAATTTTTCTATTTTTTCTTTTGTTGCTTGTGTTTTTGGTGTCATATCTAAGAAACTATTGCCAAATCCAATGTCATGAAGATTTACTCCCATGTTTCCTTCTAAGAATTTTATAGTTTAGCTCTATTTTTGTCTTCAATTCATTTAAAGTTAATTTAAGTATATAGTGTGAGGTGCAGTCTACCTTCATTCTTTTGTGTGTAGAAATCCACTTGTCCCAGTGATTTACATTTTAACAGATCAATTTGTTAAAACGTATAGGAACAAGGTGGGTATAGAAGGACCATGTAGGAGGCTGTTGCAATAACTCATAGATGCTGGTGGCTTGGAACAGGGTGGTGGTGATGGAGGTGATGAGACGGGATCAGAATATGGGTATTTTTTTGAAGTTTTTTTTTTTTTTTTTAAAGCCAGTTGCCATCGAGTCCATCAGCAGGATTTGAATGTGGGATGAAAGAAAGGAATGAATCAAGGATTACTCCAAGGTTTATAGCCTGACCAGCGGGGTGAATGGTTGTATCATTTTCTAAGATAGTGAAGATTTGGAGAGGAGCAGTTTTGGACACAGGGCTGGGAGGGAGATGAAAAGTGCAGTTTAGGTCATGCTAAGTATGAAATGCCTCTAGACACCCAGGGGAGGTATCTTGTAGGTAGTAGGGTGGAAGAGTCTGGGGTTTAGGGGAGAGGACTGGGCTGGAGATAGAATCTGTTGTCAACACATAGAGGTTGCATTGCAAAGCCATGAGCCTGAAAGAGCTCCTGAAGGCAGAGAACATAGATGAGCGAGGACCCAGGACTGAGAAGAAGCCCCTGACGTCATGAAGTCAGGAGAAGAGGGAGTGAGAAGGAGTGGGCAGCAAGGGAGGTGGGGGGAAGCCAAAGCATGGTGAGGGCCTTGGAAGCCAAATGCAGACAGCACTTCCAGGAGGCGGGAGTGATGCACAGGGTCAAATGCGGCGAAGTGTAGACATGCTCCACTGAGTAGGGAGAAAAGTCTTTTGTCTGTGATGGGAGTTTAAAATATTTTTCCCCAGTTTGTCTTCTGATTTTGTTTAGGGAGCTTTATTTTTATTAAAAATTTGCATTTCTCATAGCAGTCCTATTCTCTCATGGCTTCTGGCTTTTTGCCCCCATTCCCACTACAAGATTACATGTGCCCATGTGGCACCCATGTGTGCCCTCGAGTGGGCCAGAGAGGGGCCATGTGGCCCACGAGCTAGGAAAGGACTGTCAGTCCACAGGTGACTGAGCTGAGCGCTAAGCGAGGGCACTGGGGTCAGAGGTCCCACCTGGGTCCCCTCTCCTTTGGGCCTTGGTTTCCCTATCTGTAACTGGGGTTTACGTGCTGGGGAGGATTCTTGGGTGTGAGCGGGGAGAGGCAATCCTGACGAGCTGTGTGAGCACTCGACACAGGCCAGTCTGACCAGGCTCTCAGTGCTGAAGGGCTCACCCTTCCCTGCCCATGTACATATGGGAAGCCTGAGGCCAGCAGGCATTCCATAGACTCGGGTGCCCCAGGAGGGGATGAGCCCTGAGCCATGGTGGCCAGAGAGGATCCTGATGCTGGATGTTATACAAAAAGTCCAGCCTTGGAGAGGTTGGGGCCAGTGTGTCCTCAGAGGGATGGGGAGTAGAGGCTGCCCAGGTGGGTCCCTGGGACCACTGGGAGGGACAGAGGGGCTGGCTCACGTCTGGTCTTACCTGATGCAAACACCCTAGAGAATAATGACTGAGGAAGCACGTTGTAAACTGAGAAGCACCTTGTAAATGGCATTGCACTCTGCAACCTGTAGAGCGCAATGGACCTGTGAGCGGCTGGACTCGAGGGGGCAGACTAGTGTGTTCTCTGACTTAACCAGGGGTTTGGTGGCAGCAGATGGGTGACCTACCGACCTGTCTCCATTCCCCAGTAAGCCCAGGTGGGGAGGTGGGGGAGGGAACGAGGCCGCTCACTCAGTGCGTGTCCCCTAGAACTGTCCTGCAGCAGCACGGCTCGCCCATGGATGCCGCCATCGCAGCTCTGGTCTGCACTGGTGTTGTCAACCCTCAGAGCATGGGCCTGGGCGGAGGGGTCATCTTCACCATCTACAATGCAACCACAGGTGGGCCCCAGGACCCCCATGGTGAGGGTGGGCTTGTCCACAACCACTTGGAAACCGTGAGGTTCTCCTAAGACCCCAAGTGTGCGACCCAAACCTGTCATGCCCCGTTGGCACCCCCCCACTCCCTCCACCTCAGCTGCACAAAGCCCTCGTGGTAGGTCCTGTTTGAATTTTAGTACCATCTCATGGTCCAGAGAGAGAAACTGAGGCCTAGAGCAGGCAGAGGCCATCCGAGGGGTGCATGGTGTGGGATGAGGCCCAGCAGCCCCAGGACCCACCCACCCTACACTATCTCGTCCAACATGGGCCAGTCAGGGCTTCCCTGACCATCCTCACACCCTGCCCTGGCTCCAGGGAAGGTGGAGATCATCAACGCCCGGGAGACGGTGCCTGCCAATCCCACCCCGGGCCTGCTGGATCAATGTGAGCAGGCCCAGCCACTAGGCACAGGTGAGGACAGGGAGGGGCCCTGCCCCCATCCCTCCAGGCCCTTGGGCTGGCCAGAACCCTACCTGAGGGGGCTGTGTGGCCCCCAGACAGTCTGTGACACCTGACACCAGGGTAATGGGGGCCTGGAACCCCATGAAGGTCTGACCAACTCCCGTTGGGTGTGTTTTGTTGGGGGAGGGGCTCTCTGAGTGGGGAGGGACTGCAAGCAGAGGGATCTGTCTAGGCAGATGCCTGGAGGGATCAGTAGAGATGGCCATGAAGGTTGGTGGCGCTGGGATAGGGGTCCTTGGACTAGTTTGGTGGGGCGTGGACTTTGGCCACGGACTTTGGATAGAGGCCGTTGGGGAGCCATGCGGATTTGAGCAGAAGTGTCAGGTTCGTACCCCAGAAAGCGTGCTCTGGCTGCTGTGGGGCGTCAGGGGGAAGGCTGGTGGGGCCAGGTATGGGGGTGACAGAGCCCCTGGGGCAGGCCTGGAAGTCCCAGAGCAGTAACGCTGCCTGCCATGCAGGGGCCCGGTGGATTGGGGTGCCTGGGGAGCTCCGGGGCTACGCTGAGGCCCACCGCCGCCACGGCCGCCTGCCCTGGGCGCAGCTGTTCCAGCCGACCATTGCACTGCTGCGCAGGGGCCACCGTGTGCCCCTAGTCCTCAGCCACTTCCTGCACAACAGTGTCCTGCGGCCTTCCCTGCACGCATCATCCCTGAGGTAAGCTCACACCATGGCCCAGGCCCAAGGCCCCTCGCGGCCCCACCCTATTCTATGGAGAAGTTGAAGGCACAGGGTGCATGTGATGGCATGTTTCTGCTCTGTCCATAGACCTCAGGGCTCCCCATGCCAGAACGTAACTCAGTGGGGGGGGGTTCTGGACCCAGGGTGGATCTGCCCTCTAGCACTGGCCCCTTCTCACTCTCTCGGGGTGGCAGGAGGGCTCTGGCCAGCCCTCCCCATCCTGCCAGCTCATAGACCAGGTCCTCCCAGTGTTCAGGAAGGACTGTCCCCGGAAGGACACAGGCCAGCCAGGGTGGTGTGTGGAGGGTGGTACCGCTTCACCCAGTCCTGGAGAATCTGTCCCTGATACCTACCCAGCCCCCTTGGGACCCCAGGCCAGGGCTGCCCCTGTAGGACCCTGCAAGAGCTCCTGCCCCTCGGGACCTAGCCTCACCCTGAGGCTGCCCCATCCGACCCCAGGCAGCTCTTCTTCAATGGGACAGAGCCCCTGAGGCCTCAGGACCTACTGCCGTGGCCTGCACTGGCCACAACCCTGGAGACCGTGGCCACAGAGGGTGCAGAGGCCTTTTACACCGGGGCGCTAGCCCAGATGCTGGTGGAGGACATAGCCCAGGAAGGTGAGCACACTTGGGCCCAAAGCCCTCACCGGCAAGAGAAGGATCCTGGTTCTGGGTGCCACCCAGGGCTGAAGGGCCCTGCAGGAGTACAACTGCCCAGGGGCTCTGAATGGCCGATGGCTTCCCTGTCATCAAGGCTCAGGTGGCTGCCAGGCTCAACAGGACGTGCGCTCAGCCCAGCCCACTGCCGGCCTCGGGGCCCCAAGGTCAAAGCCCTTGAGCTAGTGCCAACAGATTGGTTGGCGATGGTTTCTGCAGCTCCTGGGTCTGGGGGCCGTCAGAGGATGTCAGGGCCTAGGGCCAAGCTGGCGGCTCTGCAGTCTCCTGGAGGCCTGGCCTCTCCCAGCTTTCCTGTTCCCTCTGCCCCTGGCCTTCTGCCCCTGGTCTCTGCCTACCTGTCCCACTCCTGGCCCTAGACCCCAGCCCTGATGCCACACCCACTGCCCCATCATCACCGTGCAGCTTAGTTGCTACATGCTGGTCTGGGGGATGAAAGGAACTTCTGGAGTCACCTGGAGCAGTGACTGTCTCTCTCTGCCTCAGTTTTCCCATATGTACAGGGACACCTGGCCAGAGCTGGGGTGCCCTGAACCCTCTCTGTCTCACCCCAGGGAGCCAGCTGACCCTGCAGGACCTGGCCGCGTTCCGCCCAGAGGTGGTGGACGCCCTGGTGGTGCCCCTGGGGGACTACACCTTGTACTCACCACCACCGCCGGCAGGAGGCGCAGTTCTCGGCTTCATCCTCAATGTGCTGAGAGGTAAGGCCCCTGGCCTCCGGCCAGAGCCCTGCGCCACTGGGAATCTGGGATCTTGGGGAGCCACTGTCTTTTTCCAGGTCAGTCTCCTCCTCTGTAAGCTGGGGTTGGCACAGAAATGACGCTGAGCCCAGGGCAGTGGAAATGAGTCCAGATCGCATGTTGGGAGGGCCATCTGCAGAAGTATGGCTGCTCAGGGCTCGGGATGAGGCTTTGCTGAAGGTCTGATGTCCCTGTCCGCCGGGTCCACCTCCCACACTGGGTGACCACCCAGGGCACCGGAGGAGGTGGGCCTAGAAGTGGCTAACTGCCCGTCAGGGGTGAGGGCCCAGTCACAGCCATCCGACTGCAGGTGGCATGGTACCCTGGCCATGCCTGGGCTGCTGGCTGTGAAGAGGGGGAGGGCTTTAGGTTCCTGGGGCTGCTCTAACAAAGTGCCACAAACTGGGTGACAAAAAACAGAAAGTTGTTCTCTCACAGTTCTGGAGGCTGGAAGTCCAAAATCAAGGGCCCTGCTTCCTCCAGAGGCTCTAGGGGAGAATCTATTCTTTGCCTCTTCCAGCTTCTGGTGGCTGCTAGTGTGCCCTGGCTTGTGGCTGCATCGCTCTGATCTCTACCTCCATCTTCACATGGACTTCTCCTCTCTGTGCGTTTATCTTATAACGGTACATATGTCGGCATTTAGGGCCCACCCAAGTAATCCAGGATAAATATCTTCTCTCAAAATCCTTAATTTGTTGACATATTTTGCCATATAAGGTAACAGTCTCAAGTTCCAGGGATTAGGATACAGAGTTTTTGATGGGGAGACCCAGGCCCCAAGCCTACCATTCAACCCACTACCCAGGGCAACCCTCAGCCTGCCTCTCACCCTTCTCCAGGTTTCAACTTCTCTGAGGAGACTGTAGCCAGGCCCGAAGGGCGCGTGAATATGTACCATCACCTGGTGGAGACGCTCAAGTTTGCTGGAGGACAGAGGTGGCGCCTGTGGGACCCTCGCAGCCACCTGGAGGTCCAGGTTAGGTAGCCTGGGGGACAGTCCTCTTCCGTGGCCCAGGGCAGCATGAAGGGAGAGTCAGCCCTGTGGCCCACAGGCCATGAGCTCTGGACAGCGGGGCAGAGGTGGAGGGAGGTGTGTGGTTCCAGACAGTGGCCCCGGGCAGGGAGGAAGCAGTGGGTCTGGGGTCTGGAAGGGGCCCTGGAGCAGTGGGGTGTAGGGGGGCAGTAGTGGTGCTGCAGGGCCTGGAGGGAGGGCAGGAAGTCAGCAGGAAGAGGACAGAATGGAGAGGCCCCCAGGGGGCTGAGTCTCCCCGCCCCTCGGCTCTGCAGACCCTACTGACCCTGCACCTGCCTGTCACCCCAGAATGCCTCCCGGGACCTGCTGGGGGAGGCCTTGGCCCAGCACATCCGCCAGCAGATCGACGCCCGGGGTGACCACCCGCTCAGCCACTACAGCCTGGCCGGAGCCTGGAGTCAACAGACGGGCACGGCCCATGTGTCGGTGCTGGGGGAGGATGGCAGTGCGGTGGCTGCCACCAGCACCATCAACACGCCGTACGTGGGCTTGGGGTGGCGGGCAGCTTCACTCCTTTGCTCCCTGGATTTTAAGCCCCCTGACAAGATGGCCTGGGACCCACCACCCCAGCTTCCCTAGGTTGTTGCCATGGTGGTCAGCTTGGCTTTTGTCCTTTCCTTCCTCCTCTCTGTCAAAGCACACCCCTCCTGGCCTTATACCAGGCTACTGGTTGGTGGTCCTGAGCCTTACCCAGAAAGATGCCCGATGGGGGCATGGGTGGGCCCTTGGGGGTCCCACCTAGGCAGTACCGGGGAGGGGGGAGTCATGGCTCCGGGGTGTTGAGTGCAGCTGCTACAATGATGGGGTTTTAAAAGGGTGGCCCAGCAGCCCTGCACCCCCTCACCCCATGTCAGAGATGGGGAGGCCCAAGCCCCACGCCCAGGCTCTGCTCCATGTCCGCAGCTTTGGTGCGATGGTGTACTCCCCACGGACGGGCATCCTGCTCAACAATGAGCTTCTGGACTTATGCTGGAGACGCCCTCTGGGCTCCAGCGTCACCCCACAACCTGGTGAGAACAAGTGCCTCCAGCACGCCACCCTCTAGGTTCCCCAGGGCTCAGCTTGGGACAGAAGTGGGGCAGAGCTGGGCGTTGTGTGGCAGCCCCTGGGCAGGTCACCCCACTTCTCTGAGTCACAGCTTGCTCAGTGGTGAGCGTGGACAGAGGTGGGGGAGATCCAGGAGGGCACTGGCTCAGAAGCGAAGCCTTAAGAGACACCTTTCTGGCCCCCAGTTCCAGGTGAGCGGCCCCCGTCATCCATGGTACCCTCCATCTTGGTCAACACAGCCCAGGGGTCGAAGCTGGTGATCGGTGGGGCTGGGGGGGCGCTTATCATCTCTGCTGTGGCCCAGGTGAGTCTGGGGACCCTTGGCTGGAGTGACCCATTTCTGGGTGACCCCTTCGTCCTGCTTTCCTGGGGGTGGGGTGTCTGTGCCCCTCCGTCCCAGAATCCTTCTTCTCTCCCCAGGCCATCATGAATAAGCTGTGGCTTGGCTTTGACCTGAGAGCAGCTATTGCAGCCCCCATCCTGCATGTTGACAGCATGGGCCATGTGGAGTATGAGCCCAAATTCAGCCAGGTGAGGCCACGGTCCGAGCCACAACAAGGCTGGACACCTGGAGTGGAGGCTCCACTAAGTGCCTCCACTAAAGTCAAAGCCCCCGGGAGGAGATCAGCTACTATCTTAGGTCAGGTTCACTTAGGTCTGGGGAACCTCAATGGAGGGGGGCAGGGCAACGAGCCAGTTCTGTGGACTCCAGGACAGTGTCCAGGATGTTTCTATGCTTCTCCCAAGCTAAGGACCTCAGTATCTTGGTTGCCAGGTCTATTTATGCCATTCTCTGGAAGCTGTTTTTTCCTGGCTGTTGCCTCTCACACTCTCCCTCATGGCAACTGGTTTCCTTGTATGGTTTGCAACTTCTGTTTGTGAGTTCATTTGTAAAAGGGGTTGTTCTTCCTACGGAAGTCTGCAGAATGATTTTGTTCTGGGGAATTGGTGGTTGCACTAATGTTCATTTCTTTTTTAGTTCCCCCACAAAAGCCTATGGTGCAGGTCTAGGGGGTTGAATTCTTTTGGCTGACTTTTTCCTACCCCAAACAGACGGTCAGCCTCCTCAGAGCTTCTTTGGGCTGGTGGGTGCCCTTCGCTAGATCCTATTTAAAAGACTGGCAACTTTTCAAGGCTCCAAGCTTTATATACCTGGAGTCAGTTCAGCCAGCTGGGGTTCAAGGTTCTCAAAGTTGTTTTTCCTGTTGTGAGTCTCTCTTGGTCTCAAGGCTCCTTCCATGAGCCTTCTCTGAGGAGCATAGATTGAGGGGCCTTTGATCCAGGAGGGGTGTGTTATCTCTGAGAACCTTGGTCTTCAGGATTTGGGATTAAAGACTTCAGCCCATCAGATTCAAATTCTCAGAGTCTGAGGCACCTCCTGTGTAGGATCCTCTCAGTGGTGGGAGGACTGGAGCGCTCCCTTGGGGCCCATAAGTTCAGGGACCTTATATCTGGAGGATCTCAGGATCCAGGCCTCAGCCTCTTAGGTCTTTCAACCTTGAGCCTTGGCTAAGTCTTTCAGGTCTTTAGTCTGTGGACATCAATTCTCAAAACCTGGCACTCTGAAGACCTTAGACTCTTGAGAATTTGGGAAATGACAGTCTGGGATCTAGGGTTTGTGGAATCCAGCAACCCACCATCCCTTGGGGAGTCAGCACATTAGCTGTACAGGTGTCAGGTCTTCCACCAACAAAATCCTAGACTCTGGGTCTGGAGACCTTGAGTCTCCAAGGACCTTTACAACCAAAACCCAGGACTGAGGTGAGGAGGGTCTTTGTGACTCAGGGCCTTGGATTTTGGCCACTAGACTCTGAGGAACGTGGTCTCCAAGGACTGTAGATCCTGTGGCCTCAGCAGTGAGGACCTGGGACTTCAAGGACATTGGGCAGTAAGTGCACTGGGCACAAAAAAGCACAATCAGAGGGTGTAGCACTTCAAACACCTGGTCCTCCCAGAGGCTCAGGCCACACTCCACGACCTTAGACACAGGGCACTGGTAACTTTGTTCCTAGGTATCTTTGGTATCTAGGACCCTGGTGGGGCAGGCTCAGGCTTTTGGCCTGTTGGTCTAAATTGGTATCTAGAGATGTGAAGCCCAGGTCACACAGATCCCTACACTCCCAGGAATTTTGCCCCTTTGCAGACTGGTATATGAAGCCCATAATCCGAGGTAGCATCTTAGAAACCAACACTGCAGGGTTAAGGTCTTACTCCTTGGTCTCTAACCCCCTCAAATTCCACAGACTCAATGTCTAGGGCCTTGAAACTTTGGGCCTTGTGCTCTGAGCACTTTAGACTCTGGGACCACTAACATCATTAGCCTGGGGGTCAATTTACTTGGACACTTGGGCTTTCAAAATGAATGGTGTCTGGGGCTTTGGGTCCTTCTCTTAGCTTAATCCCCAACCAGTAGGGCCCTAAACTTGCAGGACCATGAGCCCTAAGGAGTTTGACTACTATGTTTGTGAGTGTCGAAGGTCTTGAGTCTCCTCGTGTGTGTTGGGATCCCAGATTTTATGTTCCTGGGTGTTGAAGGTTTTAAGTTTTGTGCATGTTGAGATCTCAGGTCCGTACATTCCTGGATTTCAAAGGTCTCAAGTCTTGTGTGTATTGGGATCTCAGGTCCTATGTTCCTGGGTGTCAAAGGTCTCAAGCTCTGTGTGTGTTGGGATCTCAGGTCCTATGTTCCTAGGTGCCGAAGGTCTCTAGTCATCTTACGTGTGTTCAGATCTCAGTTCCTACATTCTTGGGTGTCAAAGGTCTCAAGTCTCCTCGTGTGTGTTGAGATCTCAAGTCCTATATAGCAAAACATCTCTCAAGTTGGTGGGCCCTTGACACTTGGCACGCAAGCCTCTTCCTTCTCAATGTCCCGAGGTCCCTGGGCAACAGAAGCCGAAGCAGGGCAATCCTGAGGATATGGGACTCCAGAGGCCCTAGCTTTCTAGAGGGCTTTGCTTGCAAGGTCCTCAGAACTGGGAATGTCTCAGGCTAAGTCCTTAGACACTGCTTCCTTCACCGAATGCCCCCAGAGCACCTCCAATCTTGCATTCTGAGGACCCTTGGTGTCCTCAGACCCAACATAGCAATGAACTTGCATCTCGAGGTCCTTTTGGCCAAGAGACCTGTATCACATCCTCCTGCCATATTCCCTGGAGACTGGGCTTCTCCTCTAAAGCCCTTTGATCTCTTCAGACTGTTGAGTGGGAGGCTGCAGACTCCATGCTCTCCAGACCAAGCTGAACATGGCTGTCTCTGACATCTTCCCTGTCCATGGTCCTTCCCCAGGAAAGTCTCAGTGTCTGAGGACCTGGTATTGTCTTACATTGTAGGTTGATTTTTCTCACATTCCTGCCCCAGAACCTCTCCCCTCTGGAGGTGGACCTAAGCTCCACACCCCTGTGAACCTGCCTTCTCGTCCCTCCAGGAGGTGCAGACGGGGCTCCGGGACAGAGGCCAGAAAGAGATCAGTATGCCTTTCTTCCTGAATGTGGTCCAGGCTGTGTCCCAGGAGGGGGCCTGTGTGTTTGCAGTGTCAGACCCAAGGAAGGATGGGGAGGCTTCAGGCTACTGAGAACTGTTCTACAGAGAGCCAAGCTCAAGCCCCATCATCCATCCTGGGCCAAGGCTGGCGATGGCCATGTCTCCAAGGGCTTCAACTGGGTCTGTAACTCTAGGTTGGGGGCCAGCCTGGGACTGGAAGAGGCGGGGACCAGCCTGGAGGGTGAAGACTGTGGGGGTGAGCTGCCTCCCTGATTCTCCAAACTCCCTCCTGGCCCGGCTCTGGCCCCTCTCACCTTCCCCAGGCCACTCACCCAGGCATCCCAGTCCACTCCTCTGGCTTCACCTCCTTCTGTATATCCTCCAGTCCAAGATTAAATCAAAGGCCCAATTCAGGAGGCTCTGGGTGAGGAAGGGTCCTCAGAAAGCACCATGTGTGGGTGAGCTCCTATTGTCCTCCACAACCCTCCACTGTGGGGAAACCAAGACTCAGAGATGGGCCAGGCCTTGCCCAGGCCACCTGCTGGACAGAGACGAGGCCCTACCTGCACCCCACTCCATCCTGTCCACAGTGTTTTCTGAGTGCAGCAGCAAGGCTGGCGAGGGGGGCCTTCTGTTGGGCTGCAGCCTGGGATCTTTGTCCTCCGTGCCAGGTAATGTTTGGCGGAAGCAAGACCTGAGCCACCTGCAGCCCCGTCAGCCCACATTCTCACCCTCGTGTGATCGACATTTTGGGCCAGATAATTCCTTGTGGTGGGGGCTGTCCCCACTGTAGGATATTGAGCAGCTGCCCCAATGGCAGATACCCTTATCTCCACTTTCCAAAAGCCAAATGAAACCCACTGCCGTCAAGTTGATCCTGACTCATAGTGACCATATAAGACAGAGTAGAACTGCCCCATAGTGTTTCCAAGGCTGTAAATCTTTAAAAGAAATTTTTTTATTATACTTTAGATGAAAGTTTACAGAGCAAACGAGTTTCTCATTAAACAATTAATACACATATTGTTTTGTGACACTGGTTGCCAACCTCAAGACCTGTCAACACTCACCCCTTCTCAACCTTGGGTTCCCCATTACCAGCTTTCCTGTCCCCTCCTGCCTTCTCATCCTTGCTCCTGGGCTGGTGCGCCCATTTGGTCTAGTTTTGTTTTAGGGTCTGTCTAATCTTTGGCTGAAGCGTGAACCTCAGAAGTGACTTCATTACTGAGCTATAAGTGTGTCCGGGGGACATATTCTCAGGGTTTCTCCACTCTTTGTCAGATCAGTAAGTCTGATCTTTTTTTTGTGAGTTAGAATTTTGTTCTACATTTTTCTCCAGCTCTGTCTGGGACCCTGTACTGTGATCCCTGTCAGATCAGTCAGTGGTGGTAGCTGGGTGCCATCTAGATGTGCTGGACTCAGTCTGGTGGAGGCTGTAGTAGTTATGATCTATTAGTCCTTAGAACTAATCTTTCCTTTCACCTGGGTCTTTAGTTTTCTTGTCTCTCCTTTGCTCTAGATGGGGCGAGACCAGTGGAGTATATTAGATGGCTGCTCACAAGCTTTTAAGACCCCAGACGCTAGTCACCAAAGTAGAATGTAGAACATTTTCTTTATAAACTGTTATGCCAATTGAGCTAGATGTTCCCTGAGACCATGGTCCCCACAGCCCTCAGCCCGGCAATTCGGTCCCTGGGGAGTTTGGAAGCACCTTCGGAGCTTCCATGACCTTGCCTTGGACAAGTTGTGGCGGTTTCCTCAGCCAAGGCTGTAAATCTTTAAGGAAGCAGACTGCCACATCTTTTTCCTGCAGAGTGGGCTGGTGGGTTTGAACCACTAACCTATCAGATAGCAGCTGAGGGCTTAACCACTGCTCCCTAAGAAAACCATCCAGGAACAATAAAGAACAAGGAAAGCAGGAGGAAAGACTGAGTAAAAACTGAAGCAAAAATTGATAAATTTGAAACAAAAAAACAAGTCTTTGAAAAAATATATGTAATAGATAAGCTATTAGCTAGCCAATTAGTATAAAGGAAAGAAGCATGAATACACAAAATGAGAAATGAAAATGAGAAAATAACCTCAGATATAGATGAAGTTAAGAGTAGCATAAAGATTACTCACTTCTATTCAAATACATTTGAAAACTTTGACAAAATAAATGACTTTCTTTATTGTTAGTTGCTGTCAAGTTAGTGTTGACTCACGGCGACCCCATGTGTAACAGAACGAAAGGTTGCCAAGCCTTGTGTCATCTTTACAATCATTGATATACTCAAGTCCATTGTTGCAGCCATTGTGTATTTGAGTGCCTTCCAACTTAGCCAACTCCTCTTCCAGCACTATATCAGATAATATTCTATGCTCTTTGGTGTTTTCATTGGCTTATTTTCGGAAGTAAATCATCAGGCATGTCTGCCTAGTCTCTCTTAGCCTGGAAGCTCTGCTGAAACCTGCCCACCGTGTATGATCCTGTGAATATTTGAAATGCTAGTGGCATAGCCTCCAGCATCTTAGAAACATGCAAGCCACCAAAGTATGACAAACTGACAGATGGTGGAAATTACTTTCTAGGTCAATATAAATAAGATTGCAATATTTGGGACATACTTATACTAAAAGAAATTTGTTGTTGCTTATCTGAAACTCAAATTTAACTGGGAAGCCTGTATTTTTATTTGGTAAATTTGGCAAACTTAGATATAAATGATAAACTGATTCAAGAAGGGGCAAAAGATCTAAACATGTCAATGACCATAGAGGAAATTGAGAAAGTTGCCAAAACAGTTGCTGTCAGTTGACATTGATTGAATCGGCTCCAGCTCCTGGCGACTTTATGTACAACAGTGCTGTGTCATCCTCATGATCACCAGCATGTTTGAGTCCATTGTTGTGACCATGGTGCCCATCCATCTCACTGAGGGTCTCCCTCGAGCTCGCTGGCCCTCTACCTCGCCAAACATGATACCCTCCTCCAGCAATTGATTCCTCATGATGACATGTCCAAAGCAAGCAAGTCAGACAATGTTCTGTTGTGATCCATAAGTTTCATTGGCTTGTTTTTGGAAGTAGATCACCAGGACTTTCTTCCTAGTCTGTCTTAGCCTAGAAACTCCACTGACACCCATCTACCATGGGTGATCCTGCTTCTATGTGAAATATGGTGGCCAGAACACTACACCCTTTCGGATGGCTCTGCAGGTGAAGTGTATTCAGCTGTTAGAACCAGAGACCTCTCCTGCTCATTAAGCTCCCACAGTAGAGAACAAGGATGGAAATGTCCACATTCACTCTATGAAGCCAGCAACTGGCAAAGAAAACTAATCATGTTTATGAAGTGAAATGCAAAACTCCCAAATAAAATATTAGCAAGCAGCACATAAAAAAAACCCAAAGGTTCTGGATCATCTGGATTATCCCTGGGAATGGGGATGGTGTTTCCACTCAGAAATTAGTGACAGTTGTCTGTATGATCCTTTTCTTTTTTTTCTTCACGTATTTCGTAGTAACATCTCACTGCTTCCCAAATCTGCCTATTAGCGTTAGCAAAGTGATCAGTGTTTGGGCCCATGTTTTCAAGCAACTGAAGCCCCTGATTTAGTTTATAAAACTAAATCTATACTGCAGTGTTTTGAATAGTAAATCATAAAATTGAACATCTGCGAGTGAACATCTGAGAATGATAACATCAGCAAATTACATGCTGAAGCATTAAATGTAGTACATATGATAAGATGTACAAAAAAACCCAAAACAATGGACAGTCATAAGTGCGGTTTGTTGTAACTCACTGGGGACTACCTGTATATCTCAAGGCAATCAAAACATTTGTTGGGTGATGACCGACAGCTGGGTGCTGTTTTATTGCTTTACGTGTATTAAATCAATTGATACAATTTTCCCTAAGAAGTGGGAGCTATCACTACCCTCATTTTACAGATGAGGACACTGGAGTCCTAGTTCTCCAAGGGTCATACAGGATAAGTACCAGAGATGGGAACTGGATAGACAAATGGAGAAAATTAATCTTGACCTTTACCTCACACCATACGCAAATATTAAACTGGGATGAATCACAGACCTGAATGTCAGTGCTAAAATACCTGCCTCTGCAATCGCTGCTGTATCATTTATTGTAAAGACCCTCAATTCCCCCACTGAACTGCATTGGTATCTTTGTAAAAAAAATCAAGTAAACAAACCTATCACACTTAAAACAAATTATAAACATACAGTAGTTAAAATAGTGTAGTACTGGCATATGAATAAACTTAAGAAATCAATCAACCACAATACAGAACCCAGAAAAGGATGCAAATAAATATGAATTCTGTCTATGCTTGAGGAGGATATCGAATCAGTAAGAAAAAAGATGAACTGTTAAGAACTGGTGTTGGAACAAGTGGGCAGCCCTCTGGAAAAATAACAAAGTGGGTTCCGTACCTTTTTCTTTACACCAGAATAAATTCTAGTTGGATCAAAGACTTAAGAGTAAAAAAAAGAAACTACATGAATATCACAAAAAACATGAGAAAAACTTATATTCTTAGAATGAAGAAGGCCTTTAAGGTATGATATAAACCAAGAAAAGGCTGGTAGATTTGAACAGGTAAAAATTAAAAAATTTTATTTGGAAAAAAGGTATCTTAGAAGATCAAAGAAAAACTTTGGAAAAAATATTTTCAACACATACCATACTTTTACACAAATACTGCATGCCTTCTATGTTTGTTTGCCAGCAGCATCCTCCCACCAGGAGGTATTTTCATAAGCAAGGCTATGCCAGTTTTATTTTACACGTTGCTGTAAAAAAAATTAGCAAGTGCCTCATGAAAATACCTTGCAGGGGGAGGATGCGGCTGGCAAACAAATGTAGAAGCTGCAAGTTATTTGTGTAAAAATATGGCAATTAGATGTGGGACTGGTTTCTTTAATATTTAAATATTTAATACGAAAGACCAAGTATTCATTAGAAATACACACAGGGATATGACTCATTTGTCCACAGAAAGAAAACTACCAATAGCTGTTACAACACAAAAAGTTGGTCAACCTCACTCATAACTAAGCATCGCCAATTAAAACAACAAGATCCTACAGGGACAAAGAAAATAACTCTGAGCTCAGAAAGCTTCACTGGTGATTTCTCCCAAACATGATGGAATGAAAAACACCAGTCTTACACAAACTCTTGAAGCAAGTAGTAAAGAGAGAACATTGCCCAACTCCTTTTATGAGGCCAGCACAACCGTGATAGCAAAACCTGACAAGGACATTACAGGAGGGAAAAGTATAGGGTAATCTCATTCCTGAACACAGAGGCAAAACTCCTAAACAAAATATTAACAACCAAATCCAGTGAAATATAAAAAAGATAATTCATCATCACCAATCTGGGTTTACTCCAGGAATGCAAGATTGGCTGAACATTAAAAACCATCAAGCAATGCAATTTACTACAATAACAGAACAAAGAAGAAAAATCATCAAAAGAAGAAAAACCAATAGATGTGGAAAAGCATTCAACAGAATTTGCCAACATTTATTCACTATAGAAACTCTCAGCAACTGGAATGGAAGGAGACTTCCTCAATCTGATAGGAGTGGCTACAAAAACCCACAGTAAATATCATACTTAATGGTAAAACAAAAAGCCTTCCTTTTGAGATTGGAACCCAGAAAAGAAACCCTCACTTTCATCACTTCCTTTCAATGGTATAAAGGAAGTCCTTGCCAGCACAATACCAGGAGAATAACAAATAAAAAGTAAAAGGATTGGAAAGGAGGACCTAAAATGTCATTATTTGTAGACATTCTATACTCAAATTAGAAGTAAGTGAACTTAGCAAGATCACTGGAAAAAATCAATTATATTTCTACATACTAGCCACAAATAGAGAACACCTTATAGAATGAAATCAATTATATTGTTAAAAAAAAACCCTTCAAATACCTAGAAATAAAGGTAACAAAACATGTGTAAGACCTCTACACTGAACACAAAAAAACATAATTTGAAGAGATAAAGATCTAAATCAATTGAGTGATATACTGTGTTCATGGAATGGAAGACTTCTTATTGTAAAGAAGAGTCCCTGGGTAGTGTAAATGGTTAAAGCACTTTTCTGTTAACTGAAAGGTTGTCAGTTCAAGTCCACCCAGAGGCACCTTGCAAGAAAGTCCTGAGGATCTACTTCCAAAAAATCAGCAACTGAAAACCCTGTGGAGCACAGTTCTACTCTGACACACATGGGGGCGCCATGAGTCAGAGTCGACACAATGGCAACTAGTAACTGGTATGCTGCAAAGATGTCAGTTTTTCCTACGCTCATCTATAAGTTCAATGCGGTCCTGACTGAAATCCTAGCAGGGTTTTTGTGGAAATTGGCACAGATGCGAAGAGCCAGGAAGAACCCCGGCAATCTTGCAGATAGAGAACAATGGAGGACTCGTACCCCAGATCTCAAGAACAAGCTGTAATGGAGCATTTGGAATCAGTGCAAAGAGAAACAAATGGGCCCAGGGAACAAGAACAAAGAGTCACCGATTTCCGACAGAGGGAACACTGCCTTGCAGTTTCCAGTGAATGGTGCTGGGTTGAATCATGCAACAGGGAGGTGGGAAGGGAAGATGGGATAGAAAGTGGAGGGAGTAAGAGCTGGCTGGACCCACATGAGAGAGCAGGGGCCCATGAAGACAGACTAAAACCTCTGACCAAACTACGTCCCTGCTTGTGGCCTCTGACTTTGGTGACAAGGGGTTCTGCAGAAGCTGGGACCTGTTTTAGGAGCTAAACACACACTTGGCCCAGGGGAGGGTGAAGCAGGGCTGGCCCACCTCTATCTCATGACAGTGGAGCTGAGGAGTCTGATAAGCAAATCCCAGTGTGAAGCTCACGGCCACCCTTCCACTCTCCAGTGCTCCCAGAATCTCCCCCTTAGCCCATCCCCACCAGAAGCACATAGGGGAGGGGCATGGGGACTGCCCCTCAGCCCAGCAATATTTGTTTATCTCTCCATGGTGGAGGAAAACACTGGCTTCTTATGCCATGAGGGTGGGGCACCCTCCAGGAGACTGGTGGTGAGATGCTGGCTGGGACAGCTCAGGAGGAACCCACATGAGCTGTGGAACCAGTGGTGAATTTCTCTGCAGGTAAACGTGGACTTAATCACAAAGCACAACGGTGTTTGAAGAAGCTGGAGCCTGGCTATGACTTAATTGTCCATCAGCTTGGGACTAGTTAGGTGCATCGTGCTGTTTGAATTTTTTTAACCATGTGCGGTTAGTATTTATTTTCAACACTAATGAAAAACGCAAGACCATCTTTTCACAGCCTGGCCCCTGGTGTCTAATTAGAAAGCCAACAACAGACCCCAAAATGCACTATGGCTTGGTCACAACACAAGGGCACTGGCCCCATGGCAGTGTGGGCAGCGTGTTGTTCTGTTGTGCATAAGGTTGTCATGAGTCAGAGCTGACTTGACGGCAGCTCACAATAGCAACAGTACCAGGTGGGTGAGTGGGGTTGGCAGGTCCTCCTCCACGCTGGGGCTGAGCTGGGACCAGGTTGTCTTGGCTTCCACAGGCCCCTCAACTGCAAGGGCAGCTGGGAAATGAGGAGACTGAGGACACTGGGCTGCTGGCGGGCTGGGCAGTACCTCATTTCCCTAACTGGTTTTTATCCTGTGAGTCTGGGCTGGAGCAACTCCCCCAGGAAGCTCGCCCTGCCTCCCTCCCACTGTGAGGGGAGCATCCAGGTCACTGTGAGCTCTGTAAGGACAAGGCCTCTGGTGGGTGCAGCACAGGCCTGCTCCCTGCTCCCTCGATGCTCTGGCCACATCCGGCCAGTGGGAGACCCTAGTGGCAGGCTGGGGGCAGGAAGAGGATGAGGTAGTCACTTCTCGTCTCCTTGGGGCCTCTGGGGTGCCTGCTCAGTCCACATGGTTCTGACTTCCATGGGGCCTGGCCCTGGCTCCGGCAGTGCCTCCTCCCTTGGCCATAGCCAGGGTGGTGCCAGTGTCCTGTGGGGCCTACCCCTCCTGTGTGACTCTACTCCACACGCCCTGCAGCTCCAGCTTCCAGGATCATGTTCCTGCTCATTTTCCTCTGCAGGCAGCAGCTGGCCCTGGGCTCTAAGGCTATGACTCTGATGTCCTTCCATCCCCCATGGGCCCTACTAGCACTCACTGCTGCCCATCTTACAAGAAGGGCTGATGTTTGGGACCCCTCCCTGAGGCTGAGGTGCACACCTGTAATGTGGTCTGGGAGCTGACCTCTCAAGTCCTCTGCCCAGCAGCACACCTACTCCCTGCCCTGGGAAAACCCCAGGTGGGGCTTCCCAGCCTTGCTGCCCTGGCACTGCAGTTAGAATCAGGGGGCTAGCTGGGCAGGCAGCAAGGCCTCAGCCTCCCCACTATTTCCTCCAGACAGGAGCGGGGGCAGCTTAAGGGCCCAACTGGAGGGAGAAGGGTGTTGCCCTCAGGGTGGGACCTGGGGAGGATGAGGTGCCTGGCGCCTCAGCGGTCCCCCTGCTTGCCCTCAGGCCCAACTGCGCCTCTCTGCCTGTGAGCCTTTGCTCAGGCTGTTCCCTGCCAAGAATGCCCCTCCCATTACTCCCAGCTCTAGAGGCTGCAGGATGGGCCCAGGGCTCAGCATTTGCTGAGGTGGGGGTGGGCTGCCCCAGCTACCTTGGCCAGAGGGAACTGGCCTCACCCGCTGCAGGTGCTGGGCTACCTGGCTCAGGTCTGGGGGAGGTGGGCCCAGCCCTACCTCATCTGCTGAGAGGAAAGTACCTGCCTGGGGGCCAAGGCCCCACCCCTGCCCTTCCTGGAGATGGGAAGTAGAGCTTGGGTGGGGAGTCGGAAGGGGCCCAGTGGGCAGAGGCTGAGCACCCCCAGGTGCCAGAGCACCTGTCACCTCCAGGCCTGTAACCCCCCTTACTGACAGCCTCCTCCTCCTGTCTTCTGGGTGCACCAGGGCCAGGCCAGCCCCCAGTCCCTCACTCTTGGCACTGCCCCACCGAGCATACCCTTTATCTGCTCAACCGCCTCCTCCAGGAAGCCCTCCAGTCAGGACCTACCCTGACCCCAGGACAGGGCTGAGGTGTGGGAGGCCTGGCTGTGCCCTGAGACCCTGAGACTGGGGGATGACTGGTGGCCCTGCCAAAGGGGAGACGAGGGGATGCAGGGAGGAGCTGTGACCAAGCAACATCTGAGGATTCCCCTGCAGGGCTGGTCACCTGGACCCCAACGCAGCCTCCCCTCTGCTGCCCCCATGTGGCCACTCCTGGCACTGCAGGCTGCAGAGGGGACCTCTGCTGTCTCCCGCTCCCTCCCCGCACCAACCCAAGGGCTCTGCATCCCTAGCCACCAGGCCTACTATCCCCTGGGGTCCTGCCCTCCCTGGCACTCCATCCACCGGGATCTTTCCAGGGTGAAGGCAGACCTATCCTGCCCTGCCTAGGCCCTCACAGCCCTCAACGAGCACCTTGCCACAAAGGAGACTTTCCACCTGTGCCGGGAAGCCCCTACACCTCCACCTCTCCTGGCACCTACATCCCTCCCCTCCCTGCCCCTCACATAGGGCTGACCGCTGTGCCCCCAGGGGAAGGGCAGGGAGGGCAGGTGGCGGCATGGGGCCTGGGCTCTGTATCTGGCTTCTAGACCCTCCTGCGCTAAAGGCCCAGGGACCTGGAACATGGCCCCAGTCCCTAGAGCAACAGGGATGGCACCACCAGTGACTGCGTCTGGCCACAGAGCTGCCACCTGCCAGGCCAGGGGCCGGGGGCCAGAGGCCCAAGGGCTGGGGGGCCAAGGGCCAGGGAGCTTGGGGATCAGGGGCTCACCGTCAGTCTGAGCCAGCTTGTTGCAGGGAAACTCTTCTCAGGGACCTCTAGGTTGGACAGCAAGGGCAGGTGCCTGACTTGGGGTGGGGCAGGTGGGCTGGCAGTCCAAGTCTGCCCCACCCAATGTCCTGAGAACTCCAGTGTGGCAGCCCATGCTGAACCCTGGCAAACATTGTCCTGTGTCCCACCTGAAGAGGTGGTTACGGTCCTCAAATCCATCTTACAGATGAAAAGGCAGAGGCTGGGAGGGACCTGTGCCAGGTTACTGGGCAGTGGGTGAAGGGGGTGGGAGTCAGACCCAAGTCACTCTGGGTGCTGTTGGTAGGTGACACACAGGGCAACTGGGGAACTCTCTGCAACCGAGGCATAGCACAAACACAGGACACCAGGGATGGGGCACGTAGGCTGTGTTTTCTCTTCATATGAGGGGCAGGGTGCTTCCAAGTGATGTCCATAGAAAAGTTAGAATTACAAGCCTGGAGTGTGTGTGTGTAGGGGTAGTCCCTCCACTATGGGGATGCTGGCTGTCCACTCCGGGGTCCTGAGTCCTCTTCACACCCATGGGCTGGGCCAGCTGGGGTCTCAGGCAGGGCAGGGTCCAGGAACCGAGGCAGCATGGCACTGGGGGCTCACGTTGTGTGGCACTGGGACTCACATGTCCAGGGGTCAGGGTTACGGGCATTGGACTATCAGGACATGCGGTCTTGGGTATTTGAGTATCAGATGCTGGAGTTTTAGGGCCGGGGACTCAGGTGCTAAAATTCCAGGGTATGGAGTCTGGGCCTGGTAGATGCATGGGCACGGCCTCAGGACGGCACAGCCTCAGGATGGCACAGCCACAGCCCGGGGTCGAGCATCTGCACTCAGGCGGCAGCTTTGGTCTGAGCAGAGAGTGGGCACCATGTCTCAGGTGTCCAGGCCCCGGCGTTATTCTTGGCCTGCAACTGGCCACACAGGCCAGGTGCTCATGGCCTCAGGCCCCAGATGATGTCCTGCAACAGAGACACATGCAGTCTGTAGCAGGCAGGGCACCCCTGATCTCAGGAGAGCCTGTGGGGCAGGGCTGGGCTGGGGGTGGTCACCTGTGGCCCTTCCTGCGACGCAGCAGCACGTACAGCAGCATGACCAGCAAGGCCACTGCCAGGCCTCCAAAGATGACACTCAGCACCGTGTAACTCCGTCCTGGGAAGGGGGCGCAGTGAGGGTGGCCCTGGGGTTCTGGGGCACCAGCGGGGGCGTGGGAGGGGCGTCCTACCTGGCTGGCACCTCGGGGTGGGTATGGACCAGGTGCCATCTGCCTGGCAGGTGCTGGCCTCTGCCCCGTCCAGGCTGTAGCCACGGTCACAGCTGAAGTGGACGGTGGAGCCCACTAGGTACATGGTGCCCTCCTTGTGCCCGTTGGCAGGTGGCGCCACCCAACCACAGGACACCACTGGGGAGCAGGTGACAGGGCTGAGACGCTGGCCGGGGGTCCATCCCAGTGCCCCTGGCCCCCTTCCTGCTGACCCAGGGGATCCCATCCCAGTGTCCCTGGCCCCCTTACCACCTGCCTTGAAGGAGGTCCCATCCCAGTGCCCATGGTCCTCTCCCTGCCACCCTCACCTGGCTGCAGGCTCTGCATGCGGCACCGGTGCAGCTGGTGGGCGGTCCTTGTGGCATTGCCCACGCTCAGGCTCCCAGTGGCCACTACGTCGAAGCTGCAGAAAGGGTCGTTCCCACAGAAGGCATTCGCCTCATGCACCAGGTGGGAGTAGGCAGTGACCTCGTCAGGGAAGAGGGGCTGGAAGGATGGGTCATGCTTGGGCCGGAACAGGAAGTTGTTGACCAGGAAGTGGGAGTCGTAGGTGAACAGGGAGGACTCATTCTGCACAGCCCCTGGGGACGTGGCAGGGCAGGTCAGGCTGCCCCTGCTGGTGGCCATGGCCCTGCGTGCCCCCTGCCCAGCGTGTTCCCGCAGTCACTCACACTCAGCCCCAAACCCAAACAGCTGCTGGGCACTGGCGGTCTCAGGCAGGATGCGCCCGCTGGGCAGTGTGAAGTCATCAGTGGGGTTGCCGTTGAGTGTCCCGAGGAGGCCCTGGGTGTGGTTCTGGAACTTCTCAGGAAGCAGAACTGTCACACTCAGGGACGGGCCCTGTATGCTGACCTCCAGGCCAGCCCCTGACGACAACATGATGGACACACGCTCCTCAGTGGCCACCGACAGGAACATGCCTGGATGGGGGGTAGGGGGATAAGGGGTCAGGGCCACCCCCATGGGCACCATCTCCTGCCCCCATGGCCCCAGGATGGGGTGGGCCAGCACCAATGGGGTGCAGGGACCTTCAGGGGTTGAGAGGGTGTCCCCAAGGCCAACCCTCCACCTCTGCCCACACCTGTGATGGGACCCCCCAGGTGCCCAGCCCGTGCAGGGAACCCCATGCCAAGGCCACGTGTTGGACGCCCCCTGCCAGGCCCACCCCCCACCTCCTCAGCCCCCAGCTGAGAACATTGTACTTGCTCAGGATTCCCGAGGCGGCACAGCTGTGGGAAGGGGGTCAGATGCTGGAGCTGGCAGATCAGCCTCTGCCCTTTCCAAGGGACTCCCTTAACCCTCTAGGGGAGGGCAGTCAGGGTTAGTTTCACTGTTCCAGGGGCTGTGGTGAGGAGCATGCCCACCGTCTGGTCTTGAGGGGCTTATGACCAGTCCCCATGTATTGGACTCAGGCATTTCCACATGGCAAAGCTGAGGCCAACAACCCATAAAGCAGATCAGCTCCTCGAGATTGGTCTCTGCCACATGTCACCCAACCTCAGGCCTAGATCCACATCGAGGGAGCGGATTCACTGCCTACTTGGTGTGCCAGCCCTCCCAGGCCCCTCTGTAGTGGGGCGCAGGGTGAGGGGGTGACCATCACTCTGCAACGAGGCCTGGGTGGCGCCTGTGTTTTCATCTGAGCCCTGGGACATCCCCAGCCTCCTGCCAGGGCTGGGAGAGGTGGGAAGGCCCCTGGGCCTGTGGTGGCTCACCCTTAAGGTCCATCCAGCGTTGCTCGTCAAAGCTGAGTACCCGCTGGTTCAGCAGAACCTGCAGCATCCTGGCCCCATCAGCCAGCCGGACTTCCAGCACGTCCGAGGTGCCCTCTTGGACCGCCACTGCGGTCAGCCCTGTGCCAAGGGCCTGTGTGCCTGGGGGAAGACAGGGTTACTCTGCTTGGCCTCCCAACCCGCCGACCTGGCTCCCAGAGTCACAGCTCCCAGGGTCAGGCTGGGCCTGCTCGGCGCCCCTGGCCAGTCTTACCATTGGGCATCATCCCTGGCTGGGCCCTGGCCTGCACACTGAGCTGGGTCAGGCCGGCCTCCAGCAGCACGTACTCCCCACGTCCATTGAACGTGAAGTTGGCACCATCGAAGGTGAGGAAGTGCGGGTCCCCAAAGGCAGAAGCTGGGAGAGAGTGGGGGAAGGGGGTGGCGGGGGAGTCAGACGCTGCGGGCCATGCCCCTCAACCTGGGTCCCAGGGTTCCACAGTTGGCCAGCACCCACCCAGGCGCGGGGGCTGGTAGTTGCGACAGCCGCTGGAGGGCCGCCGGCGCATGTAGCGGTGGCACTCGGGCGCCCAGAGGCAGCAGTGGTAGAAGCTGATGACATCATAGAGCCAGTGGGAGAGGCCAGGCACACGGGGTGGCACTAGGAACGGGGGCGCACCCCAGTCGTGCCCACGGTCTGGGGTGCTGCCGCTGGTGGAATCTGCGGTCAGGAGCTGTGCTCCGTCTGCTGTGTAGCAGCACTGCTGGCCTGAGGCATAGCGGGGGCTGGGGGCGTGGGCAGGTCAGGGTGCACCAGTAGGTGCCCCCACCCGCCAAAGCCCCCAGTCTAGGTGCTCACCTGGCCTGCACAGAGCGCACGCAGTGCACGGCCCCCGGGTGGTAGGTGCATATACTGCCCTGCTCAATATCACAGCCGTAGTCCGTCTGCAGAGTGGCCGGTATCATCTTGTCACTTCGAGCCTTGGGCCTGCCCCCCCTCCCTGGGTGGTGCCCCCTCTGCCCCAGTACTGTCCTGGGGTTTCTCCATGGGAGGCCCAGGACCTGATGCCTGAGGAACACAGGAACTCAGGAGCACTGGTCCCACAAACCCAGCCCCAGACTGCCACCTCCTGATTCCTACGAGCTGGGTCCTGGAATCAGCACCCACAGACTGAGGCCTGAGGGGCCCAGCCAAGGTGGGGGACATGTACCCCCTGCCCCAACCCTTTGGGCCCCGACGCGGGTGGAGTCTCACAAAAAAACGGCCAGAGTCAGCGCGGGCCTGGGCCAGAGTGCATGGGCAGTCGGGCAGCTCCCCCAGGAAGTCGGGCAATTGATCCTCCAGCTCCTCCCAGGCCAGGCACCGGGTGCGCGCCCAGGCCACAGGGTCGGCCCGGAAGTCATCACCCAGGTGCCAGGCCAGCGCATGCTCGTTGCTCCAGAGTGACTGCATGTCCCTGTGGGGGGACACGGCCCTGAGGGGGGCACACCCCCACTTTCCACCCTGCTGCACATCCCATGCCCCTCCAGGCTCAACCCTCACCCTACCCTCCTCCAGACCCACCCTCCACAGTGTGACTCATTCCCACTGCACCTCCCTCTACCCTTCAGCCCACCCCAACCTTCTCCCTGTAGCTCACCCTCACCCCCACCCCATGGCCCACCTCCACCCCCTCCACGCTGCAGTCCACCAGCCTCCTGTGGTCCACCAGCCTACCCGCTGAGCCATGGGTCACAGGCAGGTGGGGGTCAGGACACGGCCCCACCCATCACCTGCGTGGCCATTACCTTTCCCCGGCCTTGTGAGCACTGTCCAGGATACGAAGTGCCCCCACTTCCCACTGCTGGTAGTCACGCGGCGCAGGTTTGGGAGAGAAGGTGAAGGTGCCAGAGTTGGAGACATTTGTGGCCAGGGTGTACAGATATGACCATCTTGCTGTCCACTCCTCTGAGTATGGCTTCCCTGAGGGCAGAGAAGACCTCAGTCAGTCCCCGCCCCTCTGTGGACCCTGGGGTGGGAGGGAGCTGGCACCAGTCTACAGCATGCAGAGCAGCCTGATGGAAGGACAAACAGATGGACTGTCCCGTAGGAGGGCCTGCCCTGCAGCTCCAGCCGGGACCTGGGCTGGGGGGCCGCTACCTCCCACACCCAGGGTCACTGCCCTACTCCAGGCCGGCCCTTGGGGCTTGGGGAAGACAGGGCCTCCTCTGCTTCCAGGACAAGCCAAGGCACCGCACCTCTTCCCTGCACAGCCTGGAGTGGGGCCCAAGCCACATGCTCCCTTCCTGAATTCCATTTCTCTCCCCTCTGTAAGCCCAAACACCTGCTCTCTCCAGCCCTGCAGAGGCGGCCCAGTCACTCACCTGTCTCCTCATAACCCCACAGCTCGATGGTGACGTAGACCGTGGGCAGCGCCCTGGGGCTCCAGGTCACAGTGAGGTTGCCCCCTGTGCCAGCGGTGCCGTAGTACTGCCAGCGGGTCTCATTCACCAGTGTGCACTTCTCTGTCTCTGACACCTTGCTGGGGTGCACTGGGTGGGAGAGCCAGTGAAGGTGAGGGGTGGGGCTACCGAGGACAAAGCAGTGAGCAGACGCTCCTGGCAGAATGGGACATGGGACATAGAGGCAGGGAGCGGTTGGGTGCCTGGTCTAGCCAAGCTGAGCGAGGAGGCCCCAGCCTGTCTTATTGTGGGACTCTGTGGCCTCCTCCCTCTGGGCTGGGACGTCTGCCTGGATGCCAGTTGGGGTGGAGTCAGGAAATAAGGCAAGGGGATCCCCCGTCCTGTGCGGTGCAGCACCCACGGGCCGGGCAGGACACCCAAGGACTGGTTGGGCCAGCACAGTGTTTGTGGTGAGTGGGCAGGCCTCCCTGTGTATAGATTAGTGCTGGGAAAGTCCCTTAGCCTGCGATTGAGGGGTGCTCACCAGCCAGCCATGTGCCAGAGCGCTCGAAGGTGTGGCCGTTGTCCAGCGAGAGCATGAACGGGATGAGGCCGCTCTCATAGACCAGGGGTGACACGCAGTGTACCTGCTGGTTGTCGTCCACGTGGCCGCGTGTCTGCACGCTCCCTTTAAACCTGTGGGGCAGAGGGCCAAGAGGTGGGCCAGGTCTGGGGGAGGCAGCTGACCCTCCCCAGGGAACCCGTCGCTGCTCACGGGCACAGGTGTGAGAGGCGGTGCCCACCTGCAGACCACACCATCGGTGGGGCCAGAGTGTAGGTGCTGCACCACGAAGTCCTTGCCGCCCATGATGGAACCTGAGTAGGGCAGGATGTCCAGGCAGAAGTCCCGTATGTCCGTGCAGCAGCTGCCCAGGCCAGAGCAGGTTGGGTGGCAGGAGCAGGGCCCACTTTTGTCCCCACAGCGTTGGGCGCAGCTCTCCTGGGCCCCTGGGGAGAGGACGCTGATAACTGGGCTGGTCACCCCACGCCCAGGTCCCATCTAGGCTCCCTGATGCTCACCAGAGAGAGGCGTCCCCTGGGGACACAGGGGGAATCACAGAGCTCATGGGGATGGATGGGGTGATTCTCAGCACAAATCATTCCTGGGGCACGACTGACCCTTAGTCACGAAGTTCCCCCGTTCCAAGGGCAGGGCTTTCCAGAGGGCCACAGTTGCCTGAGCCCTCAATGTGGTCTAGGGACCTCTCCAGCTCTCCTGGGCTGGAATCTGACAATGTGGCCACTATGTCAACGTGGCCACTGAAAGCCCCTAAAAGCCCCATTTGAGATCTAATGGAGGTGGGGTTCCAGGCAGCGCTCACCCCACTCCCTCTCTTGGGGCAGTGCCCTGAAGAGACCCCTGCCCTTAGGAGAGGGATCAAGGGGCATGCCTTTCCCTCTGGGAAGGGGAGGACATTTCCCGCTGAGGGCCGTGTTTTGGGAGGTTTGTCTCTTGGGGCTGACCTGGAGGATGGGTCAAAGGCAAAGACTGGGGTGGGGTGCAGCCACCCTGGTCCTTCCCCACTTGTCCTCCAGGGCCTGGGCCAGAGCCACCTGGCCCCACTTCACCATTGGTGCAGGGTTTGGCACTCAAGAGCATCAGTAAATATTTATTGACCCGTGATGGCTTAAGGGGGTGGGGGAGGGGGCTGAGGGATGCCAGTAAGTAAGATAAGACCAGGAACGAATGGGAGTGGGGGGCCCCGCCCAATCACTCCCGGGCCAGGATCCCTCTGCAGCGCTGCGGTTCCCCGACTTTGAGGACTCGGTCCTACCTGGGTGAGGACTGACCATTCCCCTGTCCTGGGTGGGGTGGGGGCGCCTGTGCATACTTGTGCCCTCCACTGGCCGGGGTGCAGGCCTGGGGCTGTCTGGTTTCCTCCAGCCCACAGCCCCTGGCCCCTGGCTTTTCCGGGTGAGCATTAAGGTGCCCCAGACCTCCGTCCCAGCCCCAGCCCACAGTCCTCTGGCCCCTGGCATGTATGGGTGAGTATTAGGGTGCCCCAGACCCGTGTCCCTGCCCCAACCCACAGCCCCCCGGCATGTTCGGGTGGGCATTAGGGCACGCTCCAGACATCTGTCCCGGCTGGCACCCCCTCCACCTGGGTCCCAGGCTTTCCTCCTACCACCCAGTGCTTTTCCAGACAGGTGACAGACGGCCAGAGGCTGAGCCTGCAGCAAACGGAGAAGCGTCTGTCCTGGCTGGCCCCGCAGCAGATGAGCAGATAAACAGAGGGCCAGGGCAGGCTGGTGGGCGTACCTGCGGCAGGCTGGGGGCCCAGGCCGGGGGGCTGCACCAGGAACAGCAGGGCACAGAACACGAGGGCTAGCTTCATGGCGAGGCCGGGTCTGCGGGCGACGCAGGGCTGTGAAGGCTGTGGGCAGCGACCGCTCCCTCCCTGCCGCAGCTCCGCCCCTGGCCCCGCCCACTCGCCGGCCTTTCAAAATCCACAGGTAGCGGGCAGAGTGCGGGTCGCCTGCCTGGTCAGCACATTCCTGAAGCCAGCCTGGGATGCAGAACAGGGGGTAGAGGGTGGGGCGGTGCTCGGGGTCGGACCCCAGCAACCTTTGGTCCTGAACGCACTGGAGGATTGAGAGGGCGGCTCCTGCGGGATGGGTGGGCAGGACCATCTGGCCCTGACTCCACCCTCCCATCCAGAGTCTCCTCCGCCATCCTCGGGCCGGAGGGCGGACCCTGGCTGGGCACCCTGGGCAGGGCGGAAGGGAGCTGGGGTGATGAGGTATGAGATGGGAGCCCCAAGTCTGCCAACTGGCTGGGAGCCCGGAGGCGCCTCTCCGCCCTCGGCCCCACCTGCCCTGCTGTCACTCTCAGAGTCTGCATACTCTCCCCAGAACTCCCCACCCCGTCTGCCTTTCTTGTGCAGGTGAGGAAACAGGCCCAGCCAGGGAGAGGTCTTGGAGAGGCGCAGTGCCTGGTGGCTGCTGGAAGTGCAGCAGCCAGGAGGGGGGGAGGGCTCAACCTTGGGGTTGTCACTGGGCCAGGCCACTTCTGGATGCAGACCCGGGTCCAGCCAAGGCTCCTCAAGGCATTCAAGGGGACGCTGCAACACGGTGCAGGATCTGAGCTGGCCTGGGGCTTCGGCCACCAGGCTGTAGCCCCTGTGGCCCGCTGTCCCCACCACAGCCCCTCTTGTGGGTGGGTGTATTGCCAGGAGCCCTGAGGTGCCTCCAAGAGCTGGCTCTTACAGAAGAAGGGGGCAGGAAGCCTGCCAGGGTGTGGGAGTTAGCTCTGGGGCCCAGGGTTGCCCCCTGCTGTGCCTCACTCCTGCTGGCCCACCAAGACAGATGTGAGCAGGGCAAGCCTCCCAGCCTCTCAGAGCCTCCATGTGCAGAGGGGAAGCCCCTCATTCCCAGGTACCTGTCAGTGGGTGCCCTGGTCCTGAGATCCTGGCCTGGGGCTTGATCCTGGGACCATACCAAGGGGAAAACCTTACAGAAGGGCCAGACCGAGGACGAGAATGCCCTCTACAGCTCTAGTATGGAAGATGGCGGAATGCTCTGGGCTGGGGCCTAGACACTGCAGTCCCTGAGAGCATGGAAAGGTGCTGGGGGAGTTTGCTGGGGGTCTGCTCCTGGAGGGGGTCTTGTGCACCAGGAAGGCAGGCTGTCACTTCCTGTTTCTGCCTCGGTGGGCGTGTTTGTTGTTGCTGGGTGCTGTCAAGTTGGTTCCGACTCATAGCGACCCTATAGTGGAGAGTAGAACTGCCCCATAGAGTTTCCAAGGTGTGACTGGTGGATCTGAACTGCCAGCCTTTTAGTTAGCAGCCAAGATCTTAACCACTACACCATGAGGGCTCCAGATGTGAGGTTAGACACTGGGTTTACAGTTCCGGCCCCCACGCTGCCACCTAGTGGTGGCACCAGGCCCTACCATGGGCAGCCCAGGGTGCCTAGGCCTAGGAAGGGCACAGGGCTGTGTGGAAGCTGCGGTGGCTTAAGGTTGCCCCAGGTAGGGGCTGGGGGGCTGACAGTGCAGTTTTGGGCTGGCCATGGAGGGGAGATGGCTGGTGTGGCCTGGAACCTGAACCTCCCCAAACAGGCCAGGTCCATGGCTTAGTGTTCTGCTGCAGCAGACTTAAAACTACAATTTCTGAACACGGGCCCCAGGTTCACGTTCTGCACTGGGCCCCATACTCATTGTTGAAGGTTGTGAGAGGTGGACCTTCCCACCGGCCCGCCCCTCCTGACACTCCCCCCTTGTGGGACTCTCCAGCCCCCATCACACCTCCTTGATCATCAGGGCCACACTGACACCCCCATGGGGTCCAGCTCCAGCCACCCCAAGGGTCTTCCCTGGCCCCACAGGTGCCCTCCTGGGCCCCCCACCTGCTGGCTTGGCAGGTACCCAAGGCTGCCAGAGCACCAAGTCCTGACCTCTAGGAGGAGGGTCCAGAACCCTGAGGGGAGCTGCAGGAGCCCCAGGCCTGCCCTGGCCACCCCCTGGGAGAGCAAAGAGGCAAAGACAATTGTTCCATCTTTATTAGAAACCAAAAAAGGATGTGGGGTGAGCCTGGTCCCTGAGCAGCTCTGCACCGTGATGGCTGCCCAGGGTGGGGTGCAGGAGGTTTACAAAGGTAACGTTTGTTAAAAAAGAACACCGGCCCTTCTGTGCAGATGACCACCACTGCCTCCAAGAGGCTCAGTCAGCCTCCTCCTCCTGCTCACCAGAGTCCCCTCCTAGTGTGGTGGGCAGGCCCTGATGGCCCAGGATCTGTTACCCTGACCCTGAAGGCAGGGGGATGCAGTGAGGGGGAGGGGCTGCTGGAGAAGGGCCCCACTGGGCCTCAGCCTTGCCCTGGGTTCAGGCTGAGGGGGTGTCCCAGTGCTGGGGGTGTGGCCAAGGTGCCTGGGCAGGATGGCCCCCCCCCCCCACTTCAGATGTCCATGTAGTCATCATCCTCATCCGTCTCACTCTCCAGTGAGGACTCCTGGCTTGATGTCTCCAGGATCTCCAGGGCTGGCTGGCACAGGCTCTCCTTCCTCACGTTGGCAGCTGACTGGGCAGACAGGATGGCCGACTGCAGGTGGGGGTAGGGCAGGCACTGGTCGGGGAGACTAGGCCCCCACCTCGGGGCCCGTCTGTAACCTGCACACCCCTCCACCGTTTTCTTCCCCGCTGCCCTGGGGGAAAGCCCTCTGTAACCTGTACCCCCCACCACGTTTGCTCCCCACCTGCTCCGGGGGGGTGCCCTCTGTAACCTGCTCACTCCCTCCCACCCCCACGGTCACCTTCAGCTTTTGCTTGGTCTCCTCCGAGATGCTGCCTTTGGGCGAGAGCAGGGTTGGGGTGGGCGGTGTAACAGTGATCTCAGGAGGGAACTTGGTGGCAGCCTCGGGGATGACCAGCTTTGGCATGTTGGGCAGCAGACGCGGCTTGGCCCTGCTGGGCTCGACTTTGCCCAGGGGGCCCCCAGGTGGCTGGGCACCCCCACTGCTGGGGGCCTTGGAGGCAGAGGCTGTGGGAGGGGGACCAAGGGGTGGAGCCTTGTCACAGGCTCCAGAGGCCTGCCCCTCCCCGATTGGGCCTCGGGATCCGCTCTAGAAGACAGAGGCACCAGAACACCCCTCCCCTGTTGCCTGGACCCCCTGCTGCCTTCGCTTAGCCCTGGCTCCAGCCCGCCCACCATGCTGACCCAGCCCAGCCCAGGCCTCCTCCCTGGCTGCCTGGCTCCCCCCACAGATGCAGCTGTACATTCTGGGAGCCTAGGCCAGCACCCTGCCCCCCGGGGACTCACGGGCCCTCCAGCCTGTATACGCAGGTGCTCGAACAGTCCTGAACCAGCCCAGGGCTGGGCTGGAGGGGACAAGAAGCAGCCCAGGCAGGGTCTGGACTGGGTTGATGGCCAGGGGCTGCTCTCCTTCGCGCTCCCGGGTGAGCGAGGAGGTGTGTCCAGGGCCTTGAGGAGCCAGGTGGTGCAGGCTGCAGATGAGCCTGGCAGCTGTGGAGACCGTGCACTGGGAACAACTGTGGCCTGGCTGGACTCCACATTACTGCCTCACCATAGCTTTAAAAGGAATGGGGTTCACTCCATGCCCACGCTGGCCCTCAGCGGCTGATGCCAGTCCTGCCAACCTGAACGGTCCTTGGAGGCCTTAGTGAAGGAGTCCCAGGGGCTAGGCGTGGTCCTGGCTGGTGAGGCACTGGCAGGAACAGGGTCGGACCCCATGCCTGGGCTGGTGTGGCAGCTCAGCTGCCCACGGGGATGCTGGCCTGATTGGTCAGTGTCTCACTCCTCCTCACGCACCTGCCCTCCCAGCCCCTCTGGGTGTGCCACCTCCCATCAGCAGCTAGGCAGCCTTAGCCTGGCCAGGCAGAGGCCTGGTTTTCAGCTGACCCTGCATGGCCAAAGTGAGTGCTGAGCCTTAGGCACTGCTCCCCACCCCTCCGCCACACCTTCTTGTGTGAAGCAGGCGGGACCAGACATTCTCAGGGCCCTTCTCTCAGCAAACTCTGAGTCCTGGCTTTCTCCTCCCCTTCCTCATTGCCACAGCCCCCAAGCCCCTCAGCCAGGGCCTCCTCTCCCCACCCACGTTCCCCAGTCCTGCCTCTACCCATACCCACACTTACCTCCCAGCAGTCCCCCTTTCTCTACACCTCATGTCCAGTGAGCCCTGCAGAGGCCCCTGCCCTCCACACAGGCCCAATGTGTGCATGTGACCTTGTGCCAACCCTAGCCCACTCTGCCCGCAGTGCCCCCCAGCCCTTCTTCTGGGAAGCACACCCCAGCGCCTGACTGGGGGCCTTAGGGAATGCCCAGCACTCCTGTCCGCCTTACCCTGGCTGCAGGTGGGCTCAGCGCCTTTCAGGGGGGCAGCCTCCGCTGAGGGCACCGCAGATGCTGGCTTCACCTGCTGGCTGTGCCGGGGCTCCTGGAGTGTGAAGCCAGCACCCTCTGCCACTCCTACCAGCTCTTCTCCCTCTGTGGGGACATGGGGACCAGCTGAGGGCCACGTCCTCACTCATTCATGGAGGCAGGGCCGCAGGGGCCTCCAGCAGGTGGATGCCAGGTTTGCCCTGCCTGCCCCCCTCCTCCCCTGGGGTCCTACACGTCTGTGGCTTGGTCACGTGGCACAGGAGCGGGATGGGACTGCAGTGCTGATGACCTTGCTCGAGGCAGTTCTCTACCTCCAGACATGGGGCCCCTGGTCTGGCAGGTGCTTGGGGGCCAGGCTGGTCCTGGCAGAAACTGGCCAGAAGTGGGTGGGCGACCGGAAGCGCAATGGCGAGCAAGATGGCACAGCACATGGGCCCCTCCATAACACACATCTTATAGCAGGAGAAGGCTGCTGGGAGCAGGACGGTGTCTGCTTCCCCCACTAGCTAATGTAAGGGGCAATCAGAACCTCGATCAAACACCAAACCAACTGAGACCAAAGTGGACAGGGCAGCATGCCAGCACCGTGCCCTAGCCGGGCCAGACCACACTGTCCCTGGCAAAAAGCAGGGACGGTACCAGCCATGCAGCCCTTGCCTGGATCCTCAGAGTACCCCAGCCAGCACGGGGGAGGAACCGCTATCGGGCCACAGCCACTCTCAGGCCTCCTCCAGGCCTGCTCCACCTGCCCCAGCTCTCCTAGTGCTTCCAGGGCCCCTCACCAACCTGGCCCTTTGCTTCCATTCAGGCCACGCTGGCAGTGCCCCACTTTGCCCACTGAACGCCCTCTGCAGCCAGGTTAAGGTGGCCTCTTCTGGGCTTAGGCAGAGTGGCAGCTCCTGGGACAGGGATGAGGATGGGACCTGGTGGGCAGCTGCCTGTTCCCCTGGTCACGTCTGGTCCTGGAGGAGAGAGCTCCTCCTGGAAGCTGTCTAGTTCCAGAAAGCTCTGAGACCACCCAGGGATGCACCCCTCCTCTAACTGTCCTCCTGCCATCAGCCCTCGGGTCCCCATGCAGCCCAGAGGCAGCAAGGTCAGGTCAGAATGTGGTTGGAGCAGGGGACTGGGCAAGACATCATTTAGTTGGGTTTTAGAGAAGGAAATATAAAAGGATCAACTCTCTCAGCTGAAGTGTTTGCCAGGACACACTTTTCCCTAGATCCCAGAGAAAAGGGTGTGAACTACAGCCTGGGCCTGCCTGGTGTGGGCAGGTGAGGAGAGGAGGGGGAAGCCTCAGGATGCCCTGCGAGCCTGCCCCTGGTAGTCCAGCCTGCGGAGCTCCTACACTGCCAGGGTGGGTCTGTGTGACCAGCAGCACATGGCAGGCTGATGGAAGAGCAGCTCCCCATGATTAGGTCAGAGAAGACACTGCGGGGCCTCCACCCTGCTCTCACAGGTCACTCACTCAGTGGGGCCACTGCCAGCTGTGAGCACCCCCAAGCAGCCTGTAAGGAGGCCCACCTGGGAAATTGAGGCCTCTAGCCAAGAGTCTGTGAGTGAGCCTGGAAGCAGACCCTCTTCAGATGAGCCTTCAGATGACCGCAGCCCAACAGCCTGACCTCAACCACGGGAGACCCTGAGCCAGAAGCATCCTATTACACCGCTCCTGAGCTCCTGACCCTTAGAAACCACCAGATAATGCTGAAGACCTGAGCTGACACTGAAGGCCCACCTGCCTGCCAGCATGCCTCACAAAAAGCCAGCCTGACTTCCCAGTAGCATCTGTGGTCTGGGGCTGCATCAGGTGTGGTTGGTGGGGGTGGGAGGAAGGCTGCTGTGATTAGCCATGTAACCTTGGGTGTGTTTCCTGACTCATCTGAAAATGGGACAACTACTCTGAGCAGGAATGTCTGGCAGGAAGGCCAAACTAAAGCCTCTCATCAGCTGTGACCCAGTGTTGCTGCACCTTCAGGCACTCTGCCTGACCAGGGACTGAGGTGGGAGTCCTCCCTCTCTTGTTCTGTCATCCGGGTCAGGCAGAGGGCAAGATGGCCTGAGGCAGACAGATGACAGAGGGACAGGAGCTGGGTCTTCATGTGCATGAGTGACACACCTCCACCGTTACTCAGACCCCGTGGGCTCCCCCATCACTGCCCTTTGTAATCACCACCACCAAAACCTGCATCTGTGCCCATGCTTACTATGCACCAGGCACTGCTCTAAACCCTCAGTGTT